GGGGGACGACGAGCGTCGCCGCCCCGCCCAGGTCCCGCCCATCACCGCCGCCACTTAAGCGCCGTCGGGTGCCTCGCCGAGGCAGTGCGGTGCTGGGAAGCCGGTGGTATCGTACGCTCGTTATTTATCTCTACCCACCCCCTGCCTCGCTCCAAAATGACCGTGAAGGCAGCCGAGGCGTCTGGTCCTACCTTGACCTACTCGAAGATGAGGGGGATGGTGGCCATCCTCCTCGGTGGGGGCTTCTCCGAGCATGCTCGGGGGGCTGTGATACTTCTCGCAGGGTGGTTTAACGATTTTATTTCTCCTTTTACTTTATAGCTTTCATGAAGCAGAGAAGAATGGGGCTAAACGACTTCATTCAGAAGATAGCCACCAACTCTTACGCATGCAAGCAGTAAGTATCAGAAATTTTGGCTGGATTTCAGTCACAAATATCACTATGTATTGCGAGAGATCTACTTAAAAAAATGGTTTGTTTACTGCAATGCCTCTGGCATGACTTGTTACGGAAGAGTTAATTGATCTTCTTGAGGTATTACTCATTTGGCAACAAATCTTCATGAGCTGGGTTTGGAAGAAATGAGTTGGATGGGATTTCTAGAGCCCCATCCCTATTTTGAACTGTACTTACAGTATAAATACATATTTTTGTATGACAGAATTTACTTTTTGTAGATTAATCTTACTTCTTAAGTCGAATAGATTGTTTCAGTTGCCTTCTGTAATAGCCCAAACCAAAACTCATCTTTCACGATACGTGCATGCCCTCTGGCGGAAAGACCTGCCTGATGCTTCTGGTAATTCTTCTAATCATGCATGCTCTTATCCTTGCAGCCCTGAAGTTCAGTCTATCTTGAAAATCTCCCAGCCTCAAGAGCCTGAACTTATGAATGCTAATCCTTCTCCTCCGGTAAGTAGATTGTACTCAGTGAAGCATTTTTAGAACATCAAGTCAGCCAGTAATAGAAGCGTAGCAAAATTAGCATCGTGAGTGTTACTTTAGTTCAGCTCATAGCACACTGATGTAACCGTGGAAAAAGAGTTATCAAGTTAGACTGAAAGTTTTTTGCGACATGGAGAAAAAATTTTAAAAGTAAGCTTTATTGGTTGTTGCTTTGTTATGGAATGTGGCTAAGACATCAACAAGAACTTTTAAGTAAAACTATGGCTGTTATACTCTCTTTAGGCAGTACCTAACAGTTTAAGATATCTGGCAGAGGTCCAGATTAAATTTTTAGTGATAAGAGTGCTAATCTTCACTTTCAAGGTCACTTTATTTATGTTTTTTAAAAAAGAGACATTATTGGGATTCTCACTACCAAGCTGTTTTAATAAATATGGCTTCTGTCTGTTATTTTTCTAGCCCAGTCCTTCACAGCAGATCAATCTTGGTCCGTCATCCAACCCACATGCCAAACCATCAGACTTTCATTTCTTAAAAGTGATTGGAAAAGGCAGTTTTGGGAAGGTAAATCTAACTTCTTTTTGCTGTAATTTATTTACTCTTCAGCTCTTGCATGTGATGCCTGAGGGTTGGGTTTGTACTGGCTTTGGTAAATGGTGGTCATTTAAACCAGACCTGAGCATGCCCCACTGCCCCGTGCCTGGCTCCCTGCGTAGCTAGGGGGAGAGGGAGTAGGATGCTGCGTTTGAAAGAGTCATAAAAGAGCAAGGGAGTGAGGAGGCTGTGGTGCTGGGAAGAGTATATACTTTGCTTTTGGAGGGGAAGGGAACTAGACATAAAAACTTTGGGCTAGATTTATCTGCCAGTGGTAATAGCGTTGGGCATTTCCAGCAAAGGGCTTGCACATTGAACCAGAGGGATGTAGCAGTGCTCAGCCGTTAACATAAAGGCTTGTTTCCAGTTGTATTTACAAGTTGTTCTGTATTTCAGTATTGCTCAGTTCTGGGATTTTGTGCTCTTTCAGGTTCTCCTTGCACGGCATAAGGCAGAAGAGCAGTTCTATGCTGTTAAAGTCCTGCAGAAAAAAGCAATCCTGAAGAAGAAGGAGGTAAGCTGCTTCTTCATGATGCCATTGCAACGTCCATCAAATATATTTTTACTGCTATTGCTGAGCAAGTGTACTAACCATTGATGATTTCTCGTGTTTTCAGGCACATCATGTTTTTGTCAGAGCGCAATGTCCTTCTGAAAAATGTGAAACACCCCTTCCTGGTCGGGCTTCACTTTTCCTTCCAAACTGCAGACAAATTGTATTTTGTCCTAGACTACATCAATGGTGGAGAGGTAAGCAGTAAGAAAATGAAATAGTGTTTCCTATCATGTGCACGGTGGTAGGGTAGACTTTTTCACCCTTCCTTTTAAATGAAAAAGAGTTGCAAGGGGAAAAGTCACGGGGGAAAAGTTACTAGACTGAATGTTTCCAGCCTGCCAAGTTTTGAACTACCAAAGGATCGTTAGGCCATTTCCTGCTATTGTTCTCCCTCGCTATATATGTTGAGTCTAATTAAGTGCATTGTTAACAGGCTTTGGCGCCGCTTACACAACTTTGTTCTCTCTGTCTCCTGTAGTTGTTCTACCATCTCCAGAGGGAGCGTTGCTTCCTGGAGCCGAGAGCCCGATTTTACGCTGCTGAAATTGCCAGTGCACTGGGCTACCTGCACTCCCTGAACATTGTTTATCGGTAAGCAGCTTTGTTCAGTTTGTCGAGCTAAAAAAACCACATGCTTTGTTGCATAAGCATTGAAAAGTTGATCTCACTATGAGCTCAGAATTGCTTCTAATATTTTTTTGTGACTTAGTGAAGTGCTGTAAACAATTGCACCTAAAATATGCTCGCTGTAGCTCCTCTAACGAATGCTTGTCTTCTTTCTTCTCTTCCTACAGCGACTTGAAGCCGGAGAATATCCTGCTCGATTCGCAGGGGCATATTGTCTTGACTGACTTTGGACTCTGCAAAGAAAACATTGAGCACAATGGCACGACCTCCACCTTCTGCGGCACACCGGAGGTATGGCCAGCCCTCAGCCCGCCACTCACAGAGCAGCAGCAAGTGCCGTCCTCGTCAGTGAAAACTGGCATCTCCCGTGTATATTTATGGCTGGTTAGACAAGCAGGGGGGTAATACGGTCTGGTAGTGTCAGGCTGCCAGTGAGGACATGTAGGACATGTAGAGCTTGTTGAGCAGGAAAGGACAGCTCTCGAGCCGTCTCTCTGTTGATAAAGAGCTTGTAGCTTTCCGGTAGCTTAGATATTGCTGGGATTCAGTAAGCTGCTTTCATTCAAGAATGGGGAGGCTTTACTAATTATAAAGATCCCTTTGGCTAACGTGGCTCTCTTCCTTCTCTTACACAGTATCTTGCTCCTGAAGTTCTTCATAAGCAGCCCTATGACCGGACTGTGGACTGGTGGTGCCTTGGAGCAGTCCTGTATGAGATGCTTTATGGCCTGGTAAGCAATGAATCCTTCATGACAGATCAAACTAGCTTATTCGTCCTTCCCCCGCAAGAAACCCCGTGCCCGCCTGTCAGCCTCATTAACCTGGGTCTCTCCTTT